ATATATATATATATATATATATATATATATATATATATATGTAAGCGTTCCAGTTCGGAATACAGTTCTCCTTAATCGAGATTCATCTTGGGAAATACCTCTAATCATATTTAACTTTCACGAGAACGTTTTCATGTGTAATACTTGTCAGGGACTAAAAAGTTATCCGTAATTTTTGGGATGAGTTTGTAAACTCCCTATCTTGGTCAACGAGAGAATTCGTTTTCCAATGAGAGAATACTCTCATTGGACAAGAAGGATGAGTGCACAAACTCACTCTAAAAATTTTTAGTCCTTGACTGTAAATACGAATATGTAGATGCATTGTGCATAGTTGAGATTTTCGATTGATGCTGGGAAAAAGCTATTTCGACGCAGTGTATCCGGGTATATTGGCACTTTCACCTTACGGCCACAAGTCGCGGCGAAGTCGCCATTACAACAGCGTCAATTTTAATCGTAATCGCGAATACAACGTTATCGATATTTGTTCTTTTCCTTTTTCTCGAGATCTCGGAAAGATCTCATCGCGCTCTTGTTAAAATTCCTCCTAATTGTAAGTCCAACGTACAAAGAGCGTTTTATCTCTCCGCAATTTATCTTCTTCCGTAATCTTATCGCTCATACACGCGGTGCACGGCATTCTTTCCTCAAAAATCTCCGAGCGTGACGAACTCTTTTATAACATCGGCGTACTATATATGGACAGAAAAGATCTCGACGGCAGATCTTCTCCCCACTCTTCGCGCACTTGTATATCATATTAATGAAAAAATTTGTGAAGAGGAAAGGTATCGCCGAAAATACACACGTATGTACATACGTCTCCTTTCAGTTGCATTCGGCTTGTGTCTAATTTACATTTTGCTTTGTGGAAAGGGGAAAGAAAAGAAAAGAGAAAGCAAGAGAAACTCCGATACTGTTTTATCTCGTACCTTATTTTAAGATTATTGGACAACACCCACTTCGTACTCGGATGAAATTTTTAGTAACGCTGCGTCTCGCGCAAAAATAAATGAAAAAGGGGAGCCTTCTCTTCGCGCTAGACGTTCCACTTTCTTCTCGTTTCGCTACCGTAACAACGAGCCGCCCCCGCCCTCTTCGCCGGTCTCCAATTCGGAGGGCAGGTAATTCGGTTCTCGTCCGCCTCCGTGCATCCCCAACCGAACATTTGAATACGGACGAGCTCCGGGCGACGTGGTAGGAAAACGAGAGGCAGAGGGAACGATGAAAGAAGGCTCGAAGGGTGAAGGGAGATGAAACGAAGTAGGCTGGGGGTGGGTCGCAACCCTGCCATCCACGTTTCTCCGACGAAATGACCTTCGCCGGTAAAAAGACGTGCCGGGACTGTCATCGTCTTCGTCGGCTTACGAGCAGTCGCCGTAACTCCCGAAACTTCTCCGCGCCGAGTGAAAGCGCGGGATACGCGGGCGGTGAGTGAAGACGAAGGAGGATGAGGACCATGACGACGAGTCTGGGGACGAAAGAGACGCGAAGACGCGGAGACACGGGCCCGTTGAGATTCGAGGATTTACCCGCGGAATAAAATCCGATACAGCCTCGTGAATATGTTGTCTTACTTACGGAGCGCTCGGTCTCCCATGGGCAACGACGCGATCTCTTCAGGACGCCGTCATACGAGGTGCGTGCGTGCGTATATACGTATGTACGTACTCCACCAGCAAATTATCAGTCACGTCGTGGTCCCCTCGTCATCCCTGCAATTGCAAAGTTACACTGGTTTCACAATCCATCTAGGAATTTTGATTAGATACGCCTCATATTGTACAGAGAACTATCTGAGTACTTGGTGTGACGTATTTGATAAAAGTATGATTAGAATTGAATAAGGAAGACTTTCGTATGCTCATCATGGGTTGGACCCATTATAGATCCATATTAGAATCCGAATATCAACTAGAAATTTTAATCAAGGTACATTTGATATTGTACAAGAACCTAACTGAATGATCATAAGGTAATCCTAAGGTATCTGATGAGGGTATGGTGAGAATTGAATAAAGAAGACTTTCGTAAGGTTATGATGATTACATCTATTATATAGGTCTTAGGTATATTAGAATAAGACCATCATTGAGATTTTAATGTATTAATTTAATGTATTATTTTATAAAGTTACATTGATCGGGTCTTCTTCGGGATTCTACTCATTCTCTTTATTACGGCCGGTCTCATTAGGATTCATTAGAAATCATTTGCGGCTACATTACCTTACATTATAATAACTATGATCTATACAATTTGTTTTCATGAAAATTATTTTCTATATTTCCTTTCTTTAATTTTATACGTTACCAAACATTTTTGATAAATCGTTAAGTTAAAAGGATGATTTATAAACATAGGTTACGAGTATATCGTCAGATCTTGTTAGCATCATCAATTTCTGCTTGATCGTAAATTTAAGCAACACGTGAGGCAGTAAAGGTATGTGACCGTTTACAGGATGGTGGGATATTTAAATAAGGGAATTGCGGAGGAAACATCCGGTAAAAAGATCATACGTTAGTAGTAAAATGTCAGGTTTTCCTTTAATTTAATTAAACAAAATGATCGTTTATTTGGCACACAAAATAATTCTTTTTTCTATGTGAGGATCTGGCTGAGAGATCTGATGATGAATTCTTTATAAGATTATGATTACTATACGATTGCGTTACGTGACTTACTAAGATCGAATGGCATTATCTTGTGCAAACCTGATAACTGATTGGGATGAACCTTACCAGGACCATAAATTTCTAATCGGGAATGATCAAACGACGTCGAACTAAATGTCCGTATAATTCGATGGATCGCGTGAAGAAAGATGGAGAGCAAATGGAGGGTAGACGAGCGCTTGTTTGAAAGGTAAGGACACCGGGCGACATGGCGTTCCTTACGATAAATTCTGATGTGCCGGTGATAATTACTTTTATGATTACTTCGCGAGATTAACCTCGGTTATTAGACGAAACGAGCGTTTTCACAAGGCTCGTCGCCGTGACTCGCCAAGGCGCGCCTTTCGTTTACGCGCCGTAAAGTTTGCGAGGATCACGCGCACAAAATATCAGGCGTCTGAGTAAGATAAAATGGCAATTAACATTAACTTGAGCAACGTGTCTCGCGAAGGGTAATAAAGATACCGGCGGGCCGCGTATCTGCGCCAACATCAGCGCGACCTTATCGCCGCTCTTGCGCATTGGCGTAACCAACGCATTGGCGAGTTCGCGTCAACTCCGCGCCTAAGTCGTTATTATTATCTCACACCGTCAACGTGCCGTAGCCAAGGTCAGTAATACAGTCTGTGTAATGGCGGATATTGATATTCGCAAAATAACGGTATGACGCCATGCATTGTCCCGAAAATAAATGTACCGAAAAGCGGAGTGATTTCCTGAGAAGTCACACTCAGAGAAAAAAGCATGTAATTAACACATTAATTCATGCATAATTAGACATACGTACAGGTATATGATCGTGCGTAATTATCCGCCAATCTTCTTTAATTAATAACTTGAAAATCTACGTGATTATTTGCGAAATAGCAAAAGACTTTTTTGTTCAATTTGACTTAGTTTACAAACACGCAATTTCAGGCGTCGCTATTATAGCTAATCTACCCTATCACGCGTAATCATTTGCCAATCTTCTTTAATTAATTTCTCAAAATTTTACTTCATTGTTTATAAAATGGTAAAGAAATTTGGTGTTTAGTTTGACCTAATCTACACGTGGTATGGGACGCTTTACGTTAGACACCACAACTGCAGAACATTAATAATTAATAACATACAGAACTCGTATAGTTGTCATCTATATAGTTACCATTATCATGTCTTTTTCTCTGAAAAATGTTTAATACTGAAATTCAAAGAGACAATTTTCGAAATACGTTTTTTTTATATTTTTGAAAATATTGTCTTGTTGTACAGATATTGTCTCATTCTTATTTATACATTAATATCTACACATTTAAATGTAGCAAGAGTATATCTAAATGGATAGATATTAATATATTATAACAGAAATTGTTTTATTCTCTAAATTTCTTGGAGTGAAATCTCATTCAAAACGAATAAAAAGTAGCAGTATTTTACTGGGAGCGATAGTGAAGATATTGCCACTTGAAATCGCAAGAATAAATGTTTCATTCAAATTTAAAGTAAATTCTGACTCCATATAAGAGAATGCTTTAATGGATTAGAGTGAAGATGTTCTTGTGACAGTAGAGTACACTCGTGGACAGGAAAGTTATCCGCAATGGAATTATCTCATTAGACAAGACAAAGAGTTCATAAATTCACTCCAAAAATAACAGGCAATTTTTTTACCCACAGAATATACACCAAATTCACTCTTGAATCTCGAGTCAAAATATTCACTGAACAATTCAGAGAATTCACTTTATATAAGTGAAACGTCGCTCCTCAAGTGACTCGGTGGTCACGTTATTTTTCAAGTAAAACTTTACTCTCCAAGAAATTTAGACAGCAGTTTTTGAGTTTCGATATTTTTTAGGATGATGTAGTTCTCGGTGTATGTAATGCTTTCCTAAATAGCGATTTTAACAGAAAAAAACGATGATCCACTCGAATCAATTCAATCGTTTTGCCGGACGTTTATATCGATGAAAATACTGACGCGCTGAGACGGCTCGCGAGATATTCGTATATTATACACTTTTTGCGAGGCCTACTTAAGATATTAAGCTGAAGTTACTTGTAAAAAGATTCGACTCCAAGTTTGGCAAGCTCTGCGCACGACACGGTCGTTTTATTCTTCCCCTTTCTCCTACTTACCGTGCGGTCCTTTATGCAAACTATTGCACGCTACTATATCTCGCGTATACCGTATAGAGTGGATCTTGGGTACCGCGTTATTTATTGCCGGTACGCGCGAGCTACCGCCGCGACGGTGGTGTCGAATCAAGCGAACCGTGCTCGGTGTACGGCTTACTTTCAAAGTTGCCTCGACCGGCTCGTCCCGGTAACAAGAAACTCATTAGTGTAAAAATAATGTGTTCTGTATTTTAATGAGCCGAGTGGACGGCTTTCTCGACGACTAATCTTCGTTGTATAGAATACTGTTATCCAATTTAGGGAATTAATGTTTTGCAAGGTGCCTTTGCATAGCAAAATATTCACCGATAATCTTCCGACAATCAGAAATACAAGAGGAAAAATTCCAATAGATTATTGCATGGGTGTTACAGCGACGGATTTTTCTGAAAGATAAAATTCCATGCAATTTTATCACGATACGCTGACGAGTGACAAGTGTGATGGAGGTGCACATATGCACATAGCATGATTATCGTTCAAAAGCGAGCAAGAATCTATCCAAAGAGCGATTAGAACACTCTGCTAAATTATTTATTCGCCCTGTTGCAATTACCGTAACATCTGGAAGCCGATCGGCCCATTTGGCAGAGCCGATTGTCTTGGCGCGTAGCAATCAGCCAGAGTGCGAAACGTTGTACATACGTATGCACGCTGCCATAAAGTCGAGCTGAAAACTCGCATTTTCTTCTGAGTAAGATCTCAACAACCCATGGATGCCTCTAGTGATTAAATGAATACGATATAACATCCCATTTGTAAAGAATTAATGCCTTATTATTAAATTCGAGTATGCGAATATAATTAGTACAGAAAAGTACTACGTTCAAGTAAGTGTTACTTATTTCAAGTAGCGTTCTTATTTCATAAATTTATATATCCGCAATCATGAGTTTACATCATAAGCATTAAATTTATTTAAAATATTTTCTAAATCCAAGTAGGTTTGACATTTCAATCAAGAGTATTAAATTAAAACTTGATTTATAATTTAAAACTTGATTAAAATTCGATTTGCTTACTGCATAGATTTGAACCAACTTTTTTTCGACAAAATTTTTCGACAATATTGTTGTAAGAAAAATAAATTCTTCTTTTGAATGTATGACGAACTTTTCTAAAATTGTGATGATGAACTAATTTTAAAAATATTATCAAGAATATACTCTGTTGAAGATAACCATTATTTAAAAGAGGGAAAGTAAACTTAGTAATCGCTTTTGCTAGCAGTAAAATGATATTTTTCTGTGTGCAGAAGTCATAAAAATTACAACCGTCATTAGTAACTATAGAAATGACGACCGTGAAATACATTCGAGAGAAAAAAATCTGAAAGAAAGAAAGATAGAGAGAAAGAGGGAGAGAAAGGAAAAGAGAGAAAGAGAAAATTAACAATGAAATAGGAAAATGTTTTTCATTTCTCTGAAAATAAGTTAATATATTTCTTATTTTTTTCAAATATAATATATAAAGATTCAAATAATTTAAAAATTCAAATAAAAAAAGAATATATTTTTCATCTCTTTAAAATTATTCAGTTGTTAAATTAGTCTGGCAGTATTTTAATGATCGACTACTTAGAGAGAATAGAGGGGAGGACAATAGCAAATCTCAATTGTCAAAAAGACTTTCTCCAAGTACACGGAAAATAGCTTATTGATGTGCGCGTGTGCGTGTGTCTGTGATTACGTTAACGGCTTGGACTGCTAGTAAGTGTTCGTACAGCACGCCTATAAAGTTGGTGCGTCGCGGAGTCCATGCATAGATGCATATAAGGATCAGCGAGGTACTACATAATGCATCACCGCGATTCTCTCCTCCCCCTCCGTGTGTCTATCCGGCGTATACGGCATCGACTAACGTGTTTCAAATGGAGC